AAGATTTGCGTAACCCGAGTGACACCACCACCGATAGCAAGAGCGAAGACGACGAGGATCAACAGTTGACAGAGCAAAAAATACTTTTCAAACAATTCTGGAGAATATTCAACATCAAGAAAGCTGTGGACTTCTTGGTGGAGGCATGGGATCAGCTGTCTGTAGCAACTGTTCGTCACGCATGGAGACATGTGTTGCAAGGCATTCCGGCCGTTAGGCAGAGTCAATCTGTGACTGGTGAGGTTCAGACTGTTGCAGTAGCAGTGGACCTTGCCAGAGAAGCTGCGCAGAGTGTTACAGCTGCAGGCTTCTCCGAGACCACCAACGACGGCATCCTGGAGGTGATAAGGGATCCTGATGTGACTACCGACGAGATGGTAGATGATGATGACGTCAGTGAAGAGGCAGGTGGTGCGTCATCCCAAGAAGAACACCGCTTATCCCATAGTAATGTTAAGGGTGCCATCGAGTGTATCGAGAAAATCAAGCTCCTCCTTTCCGACGACCCTGACGCAAACAGGTATGAAATCTTCACTACCCAGCTGTTGCAGACTATGGAGCCCTACCTCAAGGTTTATCACGACAACATAAACACCAGCCATCAGCAAAGCATAACAGAGTTCTTCGCCCGCAACCCACCACAGCCAGCCCAAGCCAGTGATAGTGACAGAGGTAGAGACAGTGAAGATGACTTTGAGGGATTTGTCAGGGAGGCCCAGACAAGTGTGGATGACAGTGATGGTGACTCACCTGAGGGCCAGTAGCCTGCCCTCTGCCTCGGAACCAGCCTCCATCCCCGTATGCCGACCCATCTCTTCTACTAACGTAAGTGTTAAACCTAACTTTTAGTTTTCCTAACCTAACCTTTATTTTTCCTAACTTAACCTTTATTTTTCCTAACCTAACCTCTTCTATATTAATTGTGTGTGCAAACCATCATAAAGTTAAGATAAAATTTTTACTACAACATAGTTGTGTGTCGTCAAAAAGTGGAGTTTGGGGGTCGGCCCGGTCTCTATTTCAATTAATTCCATATGTTATGTTGTTCACTTTACGCGTTTCTCACTTTCCGCGGTACCCTGTGGGTTGTATTAACCGCGTAAAGTGAGGGTTGACTATAACATATCTTGAACATCGGAAGGTTAACGAAACTATTATCCGTTTAGAGGTCGACCCCCAATTTTTTGCCAAAAAATTTGGTCTTAAAAACTCGAACTACACACAGGTATATACGGTAAATAAGGACATGGGGGACCATGGGTGTTTTTAGAGGGGCAGCAAAAATACGCGGATTCTTAACATTCACGGGTATCTCTGTTACCTAACCCCTGCGTATGTTAAGGGCCGACTGTACTGTAGTGTCAAATCTTGAAAAGTTTGTTAACCTTACACAACACAACATAACCTTCATAATAGCGACAGTACTTTTAAGTTTATCTAATACAGTACTGTACAATACAGTATATGCATTGGTGGCCTGTAACAACTAACACACATAACTTGCCATCACATTAAGCTATACACAAAAAATAATGTTGTTTCAAGATGGTTCAAGTCATGCACAACATTATTATTAAAAAACTTAACATTGTAATCTCTACACACACACTGCTCCATCATACCCAACATTATACTATATCTGTGACTCTATCAGCCATTCTATATCTATGTACCGGGTACTTACCTAGCTACTAATTGACCCCTCCACTCCTCCAACACAAGAACATTTCACATACAATACAATACAGTAGTTCATATTAAATTCCATATTTTGAACCATGAAATAAGAGGACTGAAAACTTAATTGTGAAAGATGCAGTAATAGTGACTTTAGACTTAAACGTGAGTGAGTGATAGGAAAGTGGGTGGGATTATAGAGAAATATGAAATGTCAGGCATTAATAGAAATGAGGGATTATAGAGAAACATGAAATGTCAGGCATTAATAGAAATGAAGAGAGACTGATAATAATATGCACTCATAGAATTTGGTGGAGGAGAATAATGTACTGTACTGTAGATGGCTCAAAATGAAAGATATTCCTGGGTAAATATACTGGTAGTTCCAGAAGGTCGTTCGTTAACCGAAAATTTTGTTAACCGAATCCATTGTTTCAATGGGATATTGGGAAATTGGTTCCAGCTCACCGAAAAGAACATGCAAAGTAAAAAAAAAAAAAAAAATGCAGTAAAGTGCACTTACTTTGAGGTGTGTATGTAGAAGATCACTGGTTGATGATGATGATGGGAATTAGAAGTGGGGGTGGAGGAGAAGGGAGAAGAGAAGGAAGTGGAGATGGAGGAGAAATCACATTTCAGGGGACCCATGCTTGATGCAGTAATTTCACCAATAAATTTTAAGTTCGCTTGGTGTAATTCAAGATTATTTTCTTTAAATCAACACTGCACTGTGCTAATATTATCAATATGTTAACTAAAGTTCAGAATGACCAATAATTTCAATGAAAAATGCAAAAATATTCAAGACACCAACAAAATAGATGCTCTCTCCACTGTTTTCAAAGCCCAACTTACGCCTTGTAGCCCACTCACGCATCTGATGGGCGCACAACAAACTAGTTCCCTGTACTGCATATACATATTATCAATATGTTAAATAAATGTTAAAATAAATAATAATTTTAATATAAAACATGCAAAAATATTAAAGAGCACAACTTTATTGATATTTACTCCATTGGAAACGAATGTAAACATAGAACAGATTACTGAATTGGCAGACTAGCCCATCAGCTGATCAGCTGATGCTCACAACAAAACGTGATTTTCGTAAGGATGTTGTTTATCAAATTTTTGTTCGTTAACCAAATTGAAGATTCTTATGGAAGGTAATTCGTTAAACGAAATTTCGTTAGCCGAACCGTTCGTTAACCGAGGGACCACTGTATTGAAGTATTATGAATGATATGCATGATATTAGGAGCTGTGCCAGGAGTGTTTTTGCATTATTTAGAACTGAGAATAACTGAATGGAAGGCTCAGAGTGAAAGAAAATCAGAAAAGTGAGGTTACAAAAAGTTGATAAGGAGAATAAAGAGAATGTGACTGAAAGATTTAAAGAAACAATAACAGAAAGATCAAGTGAAAAGGAATGAAGATCAGGAGCTTAAGGGCAAACTGCCACACACACTGGACCATCCAAACTACTAAGATCTGTCCTAACAGATCTGACACATGACCAAAGTCAAATTACTGAAGGAAGGAACCAGCATTCCAAAAGTGTGCTCTAGAACATGGAAACAGCCTAAAAAACAGTGTATCCCGACAACTCCAATGATAGGGTAAGATACATATACTAAGTGCCCACAACAGCAATAATGTTGTTTCTAGAAGAGAGAAACCTACTGAAAAGGATCATATCCCTACTGTACTATGAAGTACTACACCATAGCCTCTACATGCACTGTTCCTTGACAAGAATCGACACTTGATATCCAGAGTCATCGAGAAAACTTCCAGGAAGGAAGAATGAACAGTTAGATTCATCATTCTCATACCCCAAAATAAATCAGAGAAGAACCAAGTCTTTGAACCAATCCTTCCTTGTCTGCCACTCCCTACACACTCGGTGAGGTGAAGCTACACCCACTTCAATATCATTCAATCCTGACTTGACTCCATACCTGGAGCCTAACATTCTTTCATGGTTAGGAAAAAGTATGTGACCTTATAAAACTTACAGAACACAGCTGGAGTGAAAGAAAATGGTCCAAGTGACAATGTCGAATTCCTAGTTTATGTAAAGCATCAATGGTAAACTTCCTTTAGCAAGAACCTCTGGTCCTATAACTGTCAAATGAGGAATCACATAACTACCCCAGCAATTACTATGAGGTTCTTGAGACTATTATACAGTATAAGGCTCAATGGAGTGAGTCGGGAATCATGCCACATGAAATAAGCCTTTAAGCAAAAGCAGCACAGCGTCAATGCTCTACTCCCAAGACCAGTATATTACTGTATGTACTGTACTGGTGAGTTGTAACAGTAAGGTGAATAACAAGAAAGAATTACAACATCTATGGCAAATGTTTTAGGTGAGAGAACTCTAATACTGTAATAACAAGCAAGGATAGAATCATAACTGACACTACCCCTAAGTGGGAACTTTTCTGAAACCCCACCAAAATTACTCCCCACCACAAATACTCTCCACCACGGTACCAGGACATACTTTTTGCAGCCCTAGGCCAGACCCTGCATCAAGTATAAAACTATATCCTACCATAGGTTTATTTACTGTGTCATGAAGTGCAGGCACAGTGTTGACCACCAGCAATCTACAAATGGGTCATGAAGGAAATAAACCAGTGGTTCCTAAACTGGGGCGCGAGCGGTCAGAGGGAAAAGTCTGGTCAGGAACTGAACGCTTCTTGTACACGATTGCTCATCCCTCCCACTCTATAATAACCAAGGGTTGCATCAGAGGGTGGGGGAGGGGGGGGGGGAGGACGAGGCAAAAAAGTTTAAGAACCACTCAAGTAAACAAACCCAAACAATATGATACACAAAAGATCATATACTGTATCTGCCTTGCCCCAAAAGGTAACACACTAGTTCTGTAGCATCCTCAAATAACCTACCCTTGTAGTGGCACAATGTGAGGTAGACATTTGGCTCAATAGCAGGAAGGAGCCTGGAGAGACGTCTATGTCTGTGAGTGTCAGCAAGGGACTAAATGCAACTGAAGGACTGTTCCTAAAATTTGACAAGATGGTGGCCTGTAGCTGTCAATATGTGTGTACAGTACTGACAAGGTGGGCATGAGGTCTACAGGCAAATTTGCTATCTAGTCTCCCACTTTTCCTGCCACTGGTTGTGATGGAAAGATATGTATGTGATTAAAAGATCAGCTCCCAACTGCCTTGTGGAGTAAGACATACACACCAGACATGCACAATAACAGAGGCTACCTAGTTAGAGATAGCATACATCCAGGGAAAGCACATAAAAAAATGAGCCAGGTCACAAGTACTCACCTATATGCTGGCACTGTCCTAGGAATGAGAGGAACCATCTCATCCCCACTGTTGTCTTCCAGTGCCTCATCACCAACATCAGTGTTAACAGCATGGCTACAAATAAACAATACATAGTAATTAAATTCAGTAAAAGATTTAAAAGAAGCACCATAAGTAATTCCTGGGACAAGTGGGGATATTTCCAACCATTCCCCACCTGGAAGCTACATGTTATGTTATGGTTATTTTTCAACTCGTAATTTTGGATAGATATACAGTCATGCGCCGGTTAACGTCCTAGATACGTTCTTGGAAACGTGACGTTAACCGAAATGGACGTTGTCCAATCATCACATAAACTTTTTATTTATACTTATGTGTATGTGGAATACTATATACGCACATATACACTTTTACTGTTAAATCACTACTGTAATGTGATACAGGTGATTAATTTTTATCTCTTGTGCAAAATACATGACGTTTATATTAAAATTATTCACTGTTTTACAAGGATTCCAGCAACGCCGAGCAGATGGGGGAAGGGGTGGGAGCGAGCGAGGGAGCGTGGGGGGAGAGGAGGTAGTACGTTTGACAGTTGGCACAGGCCCAGGTCTAACGCGTGTATATTTATCAGTTCTTAGGTGACTAAGCTTCTCTCTTATAAAAAGCCAGTGAAATGACCTGGGTGAATATAATTAACATAGCTGGGATTCTTGTAACATACTGATTAATTTGAATATAAACATGCTATAATTTGCACTAGACAAAACAATTTTAGTACCGTAATCAAATTAGTTCATATGCACCCCAGCTTTGCACTAACGTCATTTATTTCTATTACGTTTCTTTTAGTATGGTGTGTGCATGTAAATGGATGAAAATAAATGAAGAAATCTATGTAAATCTACCCAAAAATACAGTTGAAAAACTTTTTTATAAAATGTTTTACAGTACTGTACACTAATATACAACAATCTTTATCTCTTGTCTGCATATAAAATAATGCAATCCACCTACCATAGCTGTAGCCAATGCATTTAAAATACTGTACACCACTAAGTCATACTGTTTAACCAAACTTGTCATGAAAGTATGATAAGTTTCATGGTAGTGTTGTCAGTTAGGTAGCCTGGCCTGGAACCATCATCTCTAGAGGTAGCAACACAAATAGACTCACCTTAAAGAATTCTCCTGCTGAGGCACTTTTGGGTCTACACCTTCATCACTTGACTCAGGGTGGTGAGTCATCCTTCATAATGTACCACTATTCTGTAACATAAATATTAATAGTTATCTTTAGTATTTAATGAGAATATCTCTACCTGAATAATATCTATCATAATTCAAGTCCTTTCTGGTCTTCATGGAGATATTAACATCTCAAGGCAGGATAAAGACACAGTACAAAAGGTCTTCTATGGTTATCATTATAAGTACTGTACATTCTTGAGAAGTGCAACTTTAAATAAAATTATAGGAAACAAATAAATTATTCTCATAAGAAATAATGTGAATAAGAAGGTTAGTTCCTGGGATAATTTATATGGAATAAGATGAATCAACTTAACCTACTTAATGATAGTGTAACATAATACTATATTAGGTAAGTTAGGTTGAGTGGTGGGCACAGCTAAATAAACAGAAAACTCTAAACTTTAGTGAGAAGTAAGTTTTCAGAAAATTTTGTTTGGCACACACCTTGGATGACATCCTGGTTATGAACTAATGCAGTACTTAGCATAACCAAATATATTGACACAAAAAAATCCTAATTAAATTAACAAATAAATGAGAAATGAAATTATACATTAGTTTACAATTACAGTGGTCCCTCGGTTAACGAGATTTCGGTTAACGAGTTACCTCCCATAAGATTCTTAACTTCGGTTAACGAGCAATCCCTCGATTAACGAGTTTCTTACGAGCCGACCTGAACATGTTTTCGCTTGCACTGACCGGGCAACCAGCTTTAGTATCAGTCCACCAATACAGTAATCGGTTCTAGGGCTTAAATTTCTTACTATTTTAGTAAATATCAAGAAGTTTATACTATTCAATATAAGTAATTTTAAAAGTTTAATATTAAATTTTTTAGTCATTTTAACAATTATTGAACATAATTGAAGGTAAGGTCACTAGTTTCTGGCGCACCATCCAGTCTCTTAACACACCAAACAGGCGTTAGTCTCTCTCTGTTTTCAGTGGAGGTAACATCTTGCTTGAGACTCTCTTCAACTAAACGCTTTTTTCTGTTTCCAAGCAAATTATTGGTCATTTTGAAATTTATTTTACATATTGACAATATATAGCACAGTGCAGTGTTATTTTAAAGAAAATATCCTTTATTTACAGCTAGTTTAAACTTAAAAGATCACGTGTTGACATTGTTTGAATCCAGCATGGGGCCTAAGAGATCACGAAAAGCGATTTCAATCCAAACCAAGCAGGAAATTATTAAGAAACATGAAGAAGGCATTAGAACAAATGCGCTAGGCAAAGAATATGGCATGTCGACATCAACTGTGTCGAAAAATCTTGCACAGAAAGACAAATTTAAAGAAGTGAAAGAGAGAGACAAATCTACCAGTATCTGGAAGACACAATTCAACATCCTGGAGGCTGTAAAATTGATTGTGTCATCATGGCAAGAAGTCTCCACTAGATCCTTCAATTCTTCATGGAAAGCACTGTGGCCATCAGTAGTCCATGATTTTGAGGGATTTCAGGATGACAAAGAGTTGGACCAGGAGATTGTGTTCATTGGTCAGTCATTGGGCCTTGAAGTGGAAGAGGATGATGTCAAAGAGCTTGTGATGTCTCATACGGAGGAACTTACTCCTGATGACTTGAAGCAACTGGATGAGATGTTAGAGGCTGACAATGGTGAGGAGGAAATGGAAAGTGATGACCATATGTGAACTAAAGAGTTGAAAGATGTGATTTACCACTGGGAGAAGTTTAGGGAACTGACTTCAAAGCACCCAGATGTGGAAAAATCTGAACTAACTTTGTGTCATGTTGAGGACACAATGGTCTCCCTCTTTAAACATAAGTTAATGGTGAGGAGGAGAGATGCCCCACAGACCACAATTGACACTTTCTTCAGTAAAAGGCAGAGGGAACAAGATGCTATCCCTCAGCCTTCCACTTCAAGAAGGAAAGAGGATGTTCATGGTGGAGAATCTGTCAGTCCAGAGGTTCCTGACAATTTCATGGAAGGTGACTCACCTTCCAAGAAGCAGTAAAATGCTTCTCCTCCACCTCCACTTCCTTCTCTTCTCCCTTCTCCTCCTCCACCTCCAACTTCAAATTCACATCAGCATCATCATCCAGGAGCCTTCTACATACACACCTCAAAGTAAGTGTAATTTTCTACCTTTTTTGTTGAATTTAGGCAATTTTCGGTGAGCTGGAACCAATTACCCAAAAACCCATTGAAACAATGGTTTTGGTTAACGAGGAACCTGCTGGAACGGATTGTGCTCGTTAACCGAGGGACTACTTACAGTATATTCTATGACTCTTTCAACATACACTGACAGTCTTTATTTACTGTAAAAAAAAAAAAAAGTACATATTAAACTTTAATATTTGAAAAATTCCATTCACTCCGGCTGCAGTGGCTGGGCCTTCTCCATCGCCTCGACGTGATGCCGGTTGCCCTTCACAAACATCAGCCTCTCAAAGTTGCCATCTGACAGGGTGGCTCTCTTGGCCCTCAAGATATCTTTGCCAAGAGAGAATAGGCGCTCAACTGGCTGTGGGAGACACGTGTTGCGGCGTCACACGCTTACAACAGACAGGAACAAACATGTATAAATTTTGTTAGCGGACTTAAAGTTAGCAGAAGCTAATTGGTCTGCTAATTGTTTCCATGGTTAGTGAAAACGGTAATCCTCTAACGAGAAAGTTAGCTTCGCTAATTAGCGGTTTGCGGATTAGCGGAACCGTGCCTACCACTGGTTAAGTTACAGTGGCTAAGGTGAGGCAGGTCATGTTAGGTGGGTTCACCTTAGGTTGTATAAATCCTAAAAAAATGTAGCAGTCACCAGAATTATACGCACAGTATAGTCTGCATTTACGCGGTCAATTGAACCAGTGGAGGTCTGCGTAAAACGAGAAACGCGTAAACGAAATAACAGAACATATGGGATTAATTGAATAGAGACTGGGCCGACTCCCAAACTCCACTTCTTCCGAAACAATACGTACCTTGTATTAAAAATAACATCATAATTTTATGATGGTATTGACACATGCATAATATCTAAATAAAAAACTACAAATATAAAGGTGTTTAACACTTATGTTAGTAGAGGAGATGGGTCGGCACACGTGGATGGCGGCTGGTTCGGAGGCAGAGGGCAGATTAGGGGCCCCGAGTGAATCACTATCACTATTCACAGAGGTTTGCAGGGCCTCCCTGACAAACCCCTCAAAGTCCATATCCTCACTGTCACTATCACTGACTTGGGCTGGCTGTGATTGTGGTGGGTTGCGGGCAAAGAAGTCCGTAATACTAAGTTGACAACTATCATTGATGTTGTCGTGATACATCTGGACATGCGGCTCCATAATTTTCGACAGAAGGTTATAAGACACTTCATACTGATGCTTGACTGTGTCTTTGTCAAGGATGAGCTTGATTTTCTCCCCCAACTCGATGACTTCCTTCACATAACCATGGCTTGGTCCAGGTAGTTCAAGGTTTCTCGGGGGTGGTGGGGGTCCAGCGGAAGCCATTATGAGGGAATAGCGGGCACAAGAGAGAACAGTATACGCGGAGAACTGAGAACAATGAGACTGGCCCAGCTAGGTCAGCGACTTCTTCCCTCTGGTGGCAGGGCACGTCATGTTACATTAGACCAATCACAGCTAGCGGCGGAGGGAGGTAAGGATGCGTGGCCCAATCACAGTCCAATACATCATAACACATCAGCAATAACGTAAGAGCAACCTAATGCGCAAAAATATTACATTTCCATACAGTATTCTCAGAAATAAATAATTGTTTTGTTGAAACGTAATGTACAGTATTTAATATTAAAATGCAAAAAGAGCTATAAAAACAATTAATACTGTACACCCGTAATGTACTGGCTGGCATCTCCACTCATCCCTGCTCCCGCCTCCAGCGTCACCACTCCTCCCCGCCTCCTCCACATCGTCACTACTGTTGTATTACAATAATATTCTATCCTAATTCACTTGAATAAATACTACGATACCATATTTCTGAATATTTTCATTAAAATCCATCAAAATCATTTTCCTTGTCTTCGTCTTCAGCACCAAACAGCTCCTCCCAGTCTTCTCCTTGAACAGGGCTAGAGGGTATGTGTTTTTCGAATCGTTTTCAGTTAAAAAACAGTTACATCACATGTATATTTTACCTAAACTGCGCCCGAATGAATGTATTCTCAGAAATAAATAGTAGTTTTGCTGAAACGTGATATATTTCAATGTAAAATAGGATAAAATACATGACGAAAACAAAAGACTTTACCTAACCTTCCGATGTTCAAGAGATGTTACTCGTTTTTTTAAGTTTTCGGTTAAAATACTGTTATATTACAATGATATTCTATTCATACTGTGCTTGATATAATACATTCACGGAAATGTAATATTTTTTGCTGAAATTACGTACGTATTACAGTGGAAAGTGGGATAAAATCGTGATGAAAACAATGACTTTGAAATATACAGTAATGCAATATTAATACCTAAATCGGTTAATTCGGACAATCGGCTAAAACGGACACCCCTATTAGTCGAATTAACGAGGGTCGACTGTATTATGATGTTCGAACTAATTAGATATTCATTTCCACCGAAATCACGTGTTTTAGATACCCCCCAAAATCATAACAGAAAAAGTTGGATTTTTTTTTTAGAATAAATAACAAATTATATTACCAACCAACCAACCAACCAAGAAAACCTAACCTAACCTGTTGTTCATGCCCCAGACGCTTAAAGAGCGAAGACGGAGGTCTGCAGCGATGCGTGAGCAGGAGTTCAGACCACCTCCGCCATAAGTAAATAAACCATGGCAATACTTGTGACTGAGCGAAAGTAATAATCTTGAAAAATCAATATATCGGTTATCTTTAATTTCCGGTGGAAATACCGTAGAAGAAAAATGTCTTAGAATTGTGGAAACATAACAAGATACATATTTTTAATATGGAAATAAAGTCCGGTGTGATACTATAAATTCACCCTATTATTTTATATTTTTATTATAATTTATATTTTTTATTAATTATTATTATTATTTTTATTATTATATTTTCCCCCCAGGCCCCAATGTGAATCAACGACCTATGCCCTGGTGGGCTAATCCTGAATATACAAAAAAAAAATAAAAATAAATAGGATTCTTTCTAAATGATGCTCATTGGTAAATTATTGTTGTCTGCTGCTGCATCTTTGGACATTTTTATGATGGTTAGTAATTCATCTGCTGTGATAGGGAATAAGAACAGCTCATTTTGCTGTCTGTTTTAAATTCCTTATGGTAATCAGGGATGCTCTCTGGTAGACTTTTGCCAACATGGATATAATAATTATTGAAGCGGTTAGTAATGAGGGAGGGTTCCATTATAACTGTATCGTTTATCATAAAAGCTGAGTGGGGGGGCCTTAGGTTGAGTGTTCCTATTCTGAATAGAATTGATGATACTCCAAGTTTTCTTACTGTTGCTCAAAGCTGACTTGAGCTTATTTGTATAATATCTTCATCTGGCACATCTAACTGCTTCAGTTACCCTATTTCTGATGCTTCGGTAAGCAACACCGAAAGCTATGGGGCTTTTGGCAAATTTTCTTTGGAGTTAGTGAGAGTACGCTTAGACTGAACAGGTCGGATGTAAACAAGCAAAGCAGACAACAACGCGCGCAGACAACAGCATATATTTTTTTTAGGAGTATTTACAGTAAATAATTAATTTCTTCACATACAAAGCACACACAGACATCATTTTAGTGTCATATGATCACTTTTTCAGTGTTTTACCTGGCACTTTCCCTCATCCTTCATACCCTGTACACTACTGGTAATTTATGATATTTTAAAAGTACATCTGTGGAAAACATAAACGAAACTAAACAACTCCTTCTGGTGGCAACAGTTTCCTCATAAATTAACAAAAATAAATAATGATTACTTATGTTATGACTTAGGCTCCTTTAGATTCCTGTTGGCTCCTGGGGGTTCCTGTAGAGTTCTGCAGATTCCTGTAATTTCATAAGTCATTTCTGGTGCTAAATGTCTCCTCCACTTTTACCCTTATTTGCCTTTGCTCTATCTCCCTATATATAACCAATATAAAGTTCCGTGAATGGCCACTCTGCAAGTTACTGTGGGCGCCTGTAGGTTTCTATAGAGTCCTGTAGGTTCCTGTGGTCCTACAGGTTCCAATCGGCTAATGTAGGTTCTTGTAGGTTTCTGGAGTTTCCTGGAGGTCCCTGTTGGCTCCTGTAGCTCCTACAGGCTCCTACAGTCTCCTGTTGGTTCTTGTAGGCATAACTAACAACATCATAACAGGAAAAAACTATTTGTCACCAATCTTAAACCCGATACCGTTAATATTACTTTTGATAAGATAAACGTGGCACCATTCATTGTTCACACAGTAAGGTGAACCACTTCCTGCCATTGACACTTAGCTAAGGCATCTCAATACCTTCACGTAATCTCGATCGTACCTTTGTAATACAATATTTATGATTCTTATGAATGACTAATATAGGATTAAAAGATAGCCCTCTTCTATTATAAACAATTTGTGTATTTTTATTCATAAATTTTATGAGATAACAAAGAACTTTATGTAATTAATAAACATCGAGGATTGAGTCAAGCAATACGAACACAGTAAACACAAGGAGCTACGAGCACACATTCATTACAGTTTATACCTTAAATATATCCTAAAATACAGATAATTTATTTAACTTCTTCTCACAATGGCCCGATAATATAATTTCAGTCTTTTGCACTACTGTATTGTCCTAAATGAATGTTGTTTATAGTGTCATGATACGCCTCCATATAGTTGATACCACCGGTCCAACTGATTACCCAAATGTAGCCACAATGAAGTCAAATAATGGTCCTACATGAATAAATAGGGCTGTGAATCACTTCTCGATTATTATTTGGTGTCATAGTCACAAAAAATTGGTAAACTTAATTTAATCTGAGTTGTGTTGTGTTAGGTTAGGTTAGATTAGATTAGATTAGGTTAGGTACATGCACTTGATCTACATGCAACTATTTCTTGCGCTAGTCAGGCCGCACCTCGATTATGCGGTTCAGTTCTGGTGCCCCTATTATATAATGGATATCAATTCACTTGAGTCGGTGCAGCGAAGAATGACAAAAATGATTCCGGGACTTAGAAACCTTCCATATCAGGATAGGTTAAAGAAACTTAACTTGCATTCCCTAGAAAGACGAAGAGTGCGGGGAGATATGATAGAAGTATTTAAGTGGGTGAAAGGAATCAATAAAGGGGATATAGATAAAGTTCTTATAATATCCGAGCAGGATAGGACTCGGAGCAACGGATTCAAGTTGGATAAGTTTAGGTTTAGGAGGGAGATAGGAAGAAACTGGTTCACAAATAGGGTGGTGGACGAGTGGAACAAGCTTAGCAACTTTGTAGTAAGTGCGGGAACTCTGGAAAGTTTCAAAAGGAGGCTGGATAGATTCATGGATGATAGAGAATGGTAGTTACTCTCGACAGGAGCTGCCATGCACGGGCCAACCGGCCTATTGCAGACTCCTTATTTTCTTATGTTCTTATGTATGTGTAAGGGTAGTTGTAGTAATGTAGTGGATCCTCTCCCCTACAACTCCCAACTGAGCTCCGGCCGCGCACCTACCACCAATCAGCGTACAGCGAATCGAATCGAAAAATGCTAGTGACAGGGGGGAAGGAGGTTCAGGGGAAGAATAAAGGGAGGATTGAAGTGAATGTTAGGAGGAGAGAACAGATGCAGTGGCTAAACACCGCTTGCGTGAGGGAGTATAAGATGGAGGCAGCAGCAACTCGCCTGGACGCGGCCGGGAGGCGACAAGACAGAGCCAGGCTAGCGTCAGGTGCGTGTTGGGTTGGACAATGGATGTTCAGTGCTTGGTCGGCTTGATTGTGTGTGTTGGTTTCTTGTGTGGAGGAAATGTCTTGGTCTTCTTAGCTTGATGTCGATTTTCTTCTCACTCTCCTCCTCTTCTTGCTCTCTTGAAGTGTCCATTCGTTTGTGTTTGGGTCTTGTTGTTCGTCTTGCTCGTGTTTTAAGTCCTCATAGGTGTGGAAGAGGTCAGAGACGGTGAGGTTGACCACGTGGGCTTCAGCTCCACGGGCCACGTGGTGTTCTTGGTTCTGTGTGGTGGGCGTCTTCTCTTGAGTTTTCTTTTCTTGGTTTTTCTTTTCTGCTGGTTTTTTCTTTTCTTGGGAGCGTACAGCAAGGAGGGCTTCTTTGTAGCTCAGTTTCTTCTCGAGACGAGCCTTGGCTATCCTGCATTCCTCCTTCCATTTAGGGCTTCCTTCACACATTCAACGCTGGTTCCCAATCAGCCAAATGGTACCTGGCGGCTACAAAAGGGGAACCACCTTTTTTGTTGAACTGGGTGTTAACTGTGTTGAGAGGATTATTTATGAGCTTAGAATATGTTTCAGCATCACATAAAAGGTCATTCATTTTAGAAATATAATCATCTTTGTTTAAAATCACTACTGTGTTGGCTTTATCTGCTTTAGTGACATGTAGGAACATTATAGAATCTAGTCTCATTAAACATACCGAATCCGTTAACATGAATTTGAGTAACGGTATGTACAAACTGGACAATTTTGTAATTAAGAAGATTTGTAACCAGGTGAGAAGGTTGGGTCAGTTTTCCCTCTGACCTGACTACCGACCGCTGCGGTGCTTTTGTAAAGATTAGTAGGGTCATTACCTATACTTGACCTCTGTGGACTTGTTCTCACCCTCCTCTGTATATATATAACTTGTTCTGCACTTCTATTTTAGTCTGTACTCACCCCTGAGGCTTGTTTTGTCAGTATATGGCATAAGACAAGAGATAAGGAACAAAAGGAATATGTTCTTATGTTCTTATGAAACAAGAATGAAGCTTAATAAATAGAGACGGAAAGGAAGGAACAAATATATAAAATACAGAAATTTGGGGAAATATATAGTATGATAAGTTATTTAAGTATAACAATAAAGCCAAGATGTACGATATGCTTGTATCTTATTTGTAGTGAATGTTTAAAATAATACCACGAACATATCAAAATATATTCAAATAAAAATAAACCAATTAAGTTAGATATAATCAATATTAGTATAGACATAATTAAATTAAACTTATATTAGATTTATTATATTGTGACGGTTAATTTATATTAAGGGAAAAATAAAAATAATTTTATTTGATAGTCGCTTTTGGCAACATTGTATTACTGACGTCAGCATCACAACAAAAGCTTTTGTCTAATACCTGTGATACAACTGAGACGCCCCATAAAGATTACTGTGAGTATAATAATTCCTCAATTTATGTCTTAATGTAGGACTAACAACCTTAAATATACATAAACCTTAAACCTTATCCTCACAGATGATCTTGTGGAAGAGGTTGTGACTCCGGCTCAATAGCCTCTTCTCTACTGGCTGCGTGTGGCTCATATTTGTGTCCTATAATTATATACTTGTTCTTGATTATTCCAGTATTTATCTAATTTTGCTTCAAACTTCACTACCCACTCAGGTAAGCCATTAGCAACCTTGTGAGATTTAGCCTTGCTCTTGTGTTGCCCCGGGTAGTGCCAGCCACACTGTGTCCATGGGGTCTTCTGTACGCCAGTGTCGGTAACTGTAATTTCCTTAGTCTTTCCTCATAAGGTAAATCCTTGATATGTGGTACTAATTTGGTAGCCTTCCTCTGTACATTCTCTACTGCTTCAATATCCTTAATGAGATATGGGCACCAAATTTGATTAGCATACTCAAGGTGTGGCCTAACCAGAGCAGTGTACAGAGCCTTGAATACAGGTGCATCCAGGTGAACAAAAGTTCTTCTAATAATGCCCACTATTTTATTAGCCTTGTTGATTTTCTCAGCTAGATGGTCAGAGAACGTCAGCTTATCATCGATGACTACCCCTATATCCTTCTCTACAGTGGTCATCTTGATCGTGGTGTACATATGATATCCCTGGTCAGCAACTTTTGTTCTTCCTATCCTCATGTATTTACTTTTTTCTGGATGAAATTTCAGCATCCACTTCTCAGTCCAACTCCTGATCCCATCCAGGTCCTCTTGCAGCATGTCACAATACTCATCTCGTTCTATTTTCTTAAAAATCTTTGTGTAGTCCGCATATAGATATACCTCACTGTCGTGTGTAATTGCCTCAGGCAGGTCATTGATAAAAAGGACAAACAGCAGGGGGCCGAGGACAGAACCCTGAGGGACCCCACTAGTGACCTCTCTCCAGTCAGATACTTCTCCATTTATCACAACTCTCTGTTTTCTCTTAGTTAAAAAATTCCTTACCCAATCAAGATATTTTCCATCAATGCGATAACTAGATACTTTTTCTAATAGTCTTTTGTGGGGTACTCTATCAAAAGCTTTCATGAAGTCACAATACACTATGTCCACAGCCTGAATGTCATCGATAATTTCCGTTCACCTGTCTAGTACCCTAATCAACTGTAGGACTTTTGACCTGCCGGAAATGAAGCCAAACTGTTTATTACTAAACAATCCATATTTTTTCAAATGGGATATCATCTCTTCCCGTAATATTGGCTCCAATAATTTACAGATTACACTAGTTAGTCTGACTGGCCTGTAGTTTCCTGGTTCACTTTTACTTCCCTTCTTATAGATAGCTGTGATATATGCAATACGCCAGTCCTCGGGTATATTTCCTTCTTGAAAAGAGCTTTCTAAGAAGATCCTCAGAGGCTGAAGTAGTTCCTCCATCATCTCCTTAATGACTCTTGGATGTAACCCATCTGGACTGGGAGACTTCTGTTTTTTCAATTTTTGAATCACCTTTCTTATTTTGCCCTCGGTTATCTCCAGGTGTTGAAAAGCTGGCACGTCTTTCTTGTTGGCTGTTGGTATCCCCCTATCTGGTTCCTTGATTAAAACTTGTGACAATTGCTCTGAGAGTACATCTGCCTTTTCTTGATCATTCACAGTCTTCTGTACTTTTTTCTCATCCTTGTAAAGATCTGCAATTCTAGCTTTTGTTCTTGTTTCTGTCTGTACATACTTCCAGAACACTTTTGGATTTGCCTTCTTTTCTTTTACTTTTATCCTCTTCGCTACTGATCGGCTTGTTAGCCGCTTGGGCGATCGGTCACGTCTCTGATTACTTTTCCTTTTCATTTATCTTCTTCACCAAAAGGTCGGCTCGCTAGCCACCCGGGCGATCGGTCACGTCTCTGTCACGCACTGTTGGCAAATACTGGGCATGCACCGGCTCCTAAATGTACCTGAACCCGCTCCAGTGTTGGTCAAGTCTTCTCTTGAAAGAGCTCACACTCGGTGCCATCACAACACTCTCTGGTAGATTGTTCCAAGAGTTACTGTGGAGTTTCAATATTTCATGGGTTAAATACCAGAAGGCATTGTCAATT